AGCGCGGAAAAGATACCGATGTTGTAGGGAGGGATATTCGGTAGCAAGCCAGGATGATTGCGCCAGTCCATTAGCGGCGTCGCTCCGACGAATTGCGCTGCATTAACGAGGACCTGCTTCTCGAGGAGCAGTCAGCACGCTGATTGGCCGAAGGGAGCCCGAAGATCGATGTCTTTGGGTTTCCGGGAAAGTCCTTCCGCGTCTGCCTCGCGTTACCGCAGGGGCGAGCAACTCGAAAACGTCGATTCCGTTGAGGGTAAAGACGCGGAGATATAGACAGGGATCGATATGCGGCGGTGCAATTTCTATTCCTGGAAGTACTACCGAAATGAGAAACGAGCCTTGATGTGCTACCCTGAAATCCGATTTGATGTTGCGGCGGCAAAGCGCGAAACAACCATCAGCAGTTTTCCACGGCGCGGGCGTTTCCGTGCGGAAACTAATCAAAAATGGAATTTAAATCTTGATGCTTTTCGTGCACATGCTCTCCGAGCTGTAGATTAAAAACTTGATATTCTCTCTCCTACTTTTAGATTATAAATAAGTTCTTATAAGCAATTTCGAATTAAATATATTTATTGCTTGTTATCAACTTCGCGAAAATCGGTAGCAATCGAAGCTATCCCCAAATTTACTACATCCACTAATATTATATGTTCAGATTGACGCTTTGCCACTTTCTATAGGACTATGCTCACACCTGGATTCCGATGATAGCTTTGTTAACGATTGGTTACATCAGCATTCGGCACGGTTTAGGGCTTAGGTTTATGACAGGTGGTTTGATATATGGCAGTCGTCGAGTGAGAGGAAAAGAGTCCGAAGGGGTAGAAAAGTTTAATTTAGATAGCCGGCGTGGTTGCCTACGGGCACTTCCCCTCAACGCGATTTCAAGTTTCCTACTCCTTCGGGAATGAGAAAAATATATATACCGCGCATTGCGATGAGGTTACTTTTACTTAACTTTCGCCTTTTCGCTCATTTGCTCGCGTGCGGAGCAGGGATGTAAAGGGCGTAGCAATTCGTATTGCACGAACTACATCGCTCTCGTAATAATTGATCGAGGCATTTAAGTCTCTGACCTTGACACCCGCGTATCCGATCTCTTTGCATCCAAGTTTAATTAACCTAATAACATATATGTTTCTAAAGACAAAGTGAAAGAAGTTTGAATTTCCGCAATATATTTCTTTAATTCTCGCACTTAATAAAAGCGGTTTCTAAACCCCTTAATTTTTCAAATTAGTTCGTGTTTCATCATATTAGTTCAAAATAAATGTAGATAAGTTTAATGTTCAGAGAACATTTCAGTTATACAAATCAATTGAATCCAATTTCTAAAACATGCCACATTTTATGGGGTTTCCGAAGCGACACGACAAAATAATTTGCCGATGCCCCTTGGAATTGTCCCCAGAAAAGTTCGGGACGAGACAATAGGACGAGTTCACTTCTAAGAATTGAAAAACCGTGTTCACTGTCGAAAGTTTCTCTCAACTATCGGGCCACGACGCATTGTGCGTGAAACGCACGTGTGCGAAAAAAAAGTACGTTTGAAAAGGAAGGGAGGCCGTTCCGTATAGCTAAAACGACTTTCGTCCTGGCGCGTTGGATTTGTAAAGGGGCGAGTTAGAAGCAACCGGATGGTTGGAGCCGCCTGGATGAAACTGAGATTGCTTGGCAATGGCGGCAATAACGAAAAAACATAGAACTATGGAGACATAAAAACGAGAGAAACACGGTATACGAGAAGATCGGCATAAAGATAGCTGAAAAAAATGTCTCCTTCGTAGAGAGAACTCGGCCTTCTTAGAATGGGTATTTAAAATTTAAATAAAAGTCGTAAAAAGTTTCTAATAATTACATTACATTAATGTCCTGCGTTAAATTTACCGATTGTCTTGGAATATACGTAAAAGAAAATTGCGCTTTTACACTCAAGACGCGGCAAATATTTTAATAACTTCTTTTTGAAATTCAACTTAAAAGTAAATGCAATAAAATGCTTTCCAATCTATCGACATTCATGAAATAACTGGCAGAATTGTTATCTAACAGCACACACCCATTTTTAGAGAGATATACGACAGAAGGAAGATATATCTAAGACAATAGGAGATCGGAGCGAATACATGATACGGAATTGTACGGATAAAAGCGGTGCGGAGGAAGGGTAAGAAACAGTATTGGAAGACATTGAAGGGGATGGATATCGCTGTGCGTGACGCGCGTGTGTTAAGACGTGAGTGCGCGCGTTCCAGGCACGTTAGAAGGAAATAAAGGGTGAATTTACGTATTCGGAGTGAATTTTACCTCAAGAGATTGCCGGCCAAAATCGCGTGGGGCAACAGACCTTGTAAAAGCCGCGAAAGAGAAGGGAATATATTGAAAAACATAGAAAACAAAACGGTTTGTAAAACAAATTGATATCGAAACAAAGATGTAAAACAAAATAATCGTCTCCAAAGTTCGCGATTCTCTCGGTATTATTTTAGAGCCTCGCGGTATTGTTTTGAGGCAGTAAAAAAGCAGCTGAAAGAGATATTAGAAGGACATTACTTACAATGTGCGCATTAATCATTTCGGCGGCTACGTGTGTCCAAAAATGTACAACGATTATCCGTATCTCTGTCGAACTCGTAAAAAGAACGATATCAGAGATTCTCAAAGGGGATGATATCTGTAGCGCGCGTGACATGCGTGCGTTAAGCCGCGGGTGCGTGAGACTCGGACACGTTAAGAAAAAAAGTGGAGGGTGAATTGACGTAGTTGAAATGACTTTGGTCCGCAAAGGGAGCAGTGAAGGGAGAAGAGACCGAGGGTTAGGGGTAGGCGTTTTGGTGATCGGAGGTACCACCGAAGAAGCTTAGGGTGGTTGACAGCGGCGGTGGCGGCGGCGGCGGTGGCGACGGCGGCGGTGGTGGTGGTGGTGGTGGTTGAGTGGTGCCGAGGGGTGGGTACCGGGGGCAAGTGAGGGCAGATCAATGCGGACATGTGCGGGAAATTGCACAGGGATCGATCCCAGGACCCTCGGGGGAAGCGCGGCCTCTGTGTTTTTCTCTCTGTCACTCCTTCTCTCGCACCTCCCCTGTATACCCTCTCTACCTCCGTCTGTTCTGACTCTCATTTCGCTTCTCTCGTCCCTGGCCTCCTCAGCCTGATTTTCTCTCTCTCTCTCCCCGCTCTCTCGCGCGGATCTCGCTCTTTCGCGAAACGCTTGCTCTCCCGACTGACGGACGTATCGCTTACTGATATAACAGATGGTCTTTTTGATATCAGCAATTGACCATAGTTTTTATATAATATTTATTGGGTGGACGACCCAAAGATTTGTGTCTTGCTTTAAATTACTGCTTGTATGAATTTAATATAACAAAGACCTATTTGCTTTACGAGTATGTACCAGACCATTAATTAATCAAAAAATTAATAATTCTACAAGATTCTTGCCGATAAAATTTAAATAACTTAAAATTAGTTTAATAACAAGAAATTGAATAAAAATTGTTTTTAAGATCTACATTATGAAAATACAGTTTGAATGAGAGAGAAAGAGAGAGCAAGAATGAAAGAGAGCAACGTTAAGTCGAAGATGCTGATACATTAACGATCGCTATTTCTTCCAATTAATTTTAACAAATCTAAAAATCTAATCTCGTTATCGTTGATAAAATTGCTTATTCGTCCTTCCACTTCTACTTTGCTACCCCTATTATTTTTAGGACTAGTTTCACAAACATCGGTAAACTGTTAAGATTCCCTATCGTTTCCTATATTCTTATCTAAGAAGAGACAGAAATCGATTAATCTCCAGTTAGCAAGTGTCCGTGAAACTGACCCTTAAAGATCAGGGAAGACGCCGAAATCGGACCAAAAAAATTGCAAACAGTAAAGTCACACAAAAGAAAAACTCATTAATCTATTTAGCTTAAGTGTATCGGGATTTTCATCCATAAAAGGACTTTGCATTTTTTTACAATAGAGTAATATATAGTTGAAGTGACAGTGACATCAAAGAAATCGAAAAAGGGACAAGAGAACAATAACGCGTATTAAAGTGCTCGGGATAAAAGATACAATTGAACAAGTATAGTACCGACGGAAACTCGTGCAGTGCTTTTGGGCCGAAGAAAAAAAATTGTCGTGTTTCTTTCGATGGCAAATAAATGTTGATTCGCCACGGTCATGAATCGTAGATCCTACTGTTACAGCATAAAGAGTAAAGTAATTTGTCACCCGTGAGTTTCTTAGAAAAATTTCGGTTGGGACGAGTACGAATCTTTTGCCGGCATGATAATTGTACAGGTACATTCTCGGCGTTTCCTCCGTAAACTTGCCCGTCGCAATCGGTCTTAATCGAAGTCTTAGTGCCGCACGTTTCTCACGAATGCAGCATCCGTGCGGCGCAACACGGCTCCGCCGTGAAGATTGATTAAACCCGCTGCCGCAGTCACACCGCCGCCCACGCGAGGTATATTAAAGACGTGACCCGACATAAAGGATCCTTGTCCTCGGTTCCTATCTATCTATCTCTCTTTCTCGCTCTCTCTCTCTCTCTCTCCCACCCGCCTTTCTTCTATGACCACATTGATTTTCCACAGTACTCCACCCTTAGTCCACATCACTCTGTCTCTCCCTCCGGCCGCTAACTTTCCCTCCGCAAACTCTCCTCCGAGAGGGAACGTACCCCGAGCGGAGTATAGATAAGTACCACCGTTCGGGCATCCGCGCCTTCTTCCTCGGCGCCTTCTTATCGACACCCGACGTCGCACGCTGGAGGCCGTGTAGTCGCTGTTTACTCGCGAGTAATCCGGGAACGAGAGTTCGGCCGGGTGCTCGAAAGCTTTGCAAGTTTGATTGAATCTCGGCAGCAAAAGCGCCGCCGGCATCAGAAAATGGACAAGTTGCTAGCTTTGGAGTTCGTTCTTCACGGTTCCCGGTTTTTTGTTTTCTCCCACGAAAGTTAGCGGATGTCGTGAACAGAGCCGTTTTAGTCGGCACAGCCGGCCGTAACTTTTGCGTCTCGGGCGGAGAGGACGTTTGTAGTTTGCGAGCGAATCGAATAATTTTGTGCTACGATTAGAATGACGATGCGTTCCGAGTTTAAATTGGCGCCGCGGCAAAAATAGAGAGGCGAATTAAATACTTTGCATCGCGTGATTTAGTTAATTCTTAATCAACCCTATTAGTCATTCATTTAACATCCTTTTATCATTTCAATTTTGAATTGTGTAAAAAGAGTTAGGAAATTATGTTCATCGTAACCATAACGCGATTCATTCCCTCTTTATCAACATTGCAGACTTTTTTTTTTAATATCTATTTATTATTGTCAATTTGTTTAAGAGCTCGCGCTTTTTTCCAGATAAAAGCATATTTGCGCTTTTCCTCGTTAATGAGATTTCGCCTTTGATGTCCACCGTTTTTATTGCATTAAGTGGATTTCGGAGGTAATTTTTTTTTTGCCATGCCGCGCCACGTTTGCCACTCTGTTGTAACGTCCGTGAAATGCGTTCTCGTTTTTCGCTCATGTCGACGAGAATCGATAGACCAGGGAGATTAAAACCGAGTATTCGTAACGACGATTTCGAACGCGCGACGGGAATGTAAAGCCATGTGCGCGCCATGTTTTTCCCTACTATTTGTTTTTCTTTTATCGATCCGTGAAATTTACGCGTTGTTTTCTAAAACTGTATAATAAACTAATTGAGCTCGAAAATAAAAGTTTTGCAAAACGCAATAAATTCTCGCGCGAATATATTTTACGTCCCCTACGATTGTCCGGCGTAACATCGCGTTGTTCGCGAATAATTTCACGTAATGTATTCAAGCTACTAAAAATACGTATCCTCCGTCCGAAAGTCAGCTGATCGGCAAACGCGGAGACTAACGCGGCAGGTTCTGAGCAGGAATCGCAACGGTCATTTGTCCGAAGGACGCAATAACGTACAGCGAACCCACCCTTGGCGCGATTCAAGTCGCCCAGCGTGCGACGGTAGCGCGCGTGGATCGGGGCGAAGAAAAGGGGCGTCCGCGGCATTAAAGAGGCAAGAGAAGAAATGGTCGGTGGGACAAAGTCAGAGGAAGGAAGGACGGAGGGATAGCAAAAAGAGAACGGCGGTGGCAGCGGAAGAGAAGAGAGATAGAAACAGTTCGACGTGACACTGTGCATTTGTCTCGTTGCTCCGCTCTTGTCGCGCAAGAACCTCATTTTTACCCTTCGCGCCGTGTCCTCCGGCGATTGTTCCGCGTCTTCTAAGCCACGTGTAGGCCACCTACACAAGTTCGAGCTACCGGCCCTAACTCCCAAGAATATATCTGATGGCATCGCCACTCCCGAAGTGGGCCATTACATCCAATCTCGTCTCATTTCCGGATCTTTTTCCAACTGATCTTTATTTTTCAGCCCGCGTTTCGAACAGTTCGATTGGGATAACCTGATCACATCACCTCCACTTTGGAGTCTTTACTTGCAATCTTTGCAACACGAAGTTTCCTCATTTTCTTGAGTGTTAGTGTAATATTGATTGAGTTTAAACGCTATATTTGCCCGAAGAATTGTTGACGATGGTATAGAGAAATCGATTGCATTTACTTTTAGAATATTAACAGGTTTAATATAAAAGAATACTTACGAAACATAATATAAAGTATAATACGGAAGATTACACTTATCTATACTTTCAACACAGTCGTAGTATAGAAAATAAAATTAATGAATAATTCAAATATTGACAAAATTCATCTAGAAGAATATACCAACAGAGATGTGTGTTCACACACGGCACGTGAAAACTTATTATATTAGGAAAGAACGTGATGTATTTCGATATCTATTTCAATCTTCTTCCTAACATTAAACTTCAGGTAATCGAGTTTTCCTTTCCTCCTCGAATACTCTGAGAAAACCAAGATTTGAACGGACATCTGGGGGATACGGGCGGTCAGCAAAGATTAAGAAAGAAGAAGACGAAGAGGAATAGGTCCTACCCTGCTTCCCCTTCATCCGCGTGGCTGCGAATGTTCCGATCCCCTGCGCACACGCACACAGTGCCGACGCAAGCACGCTCGCTGATGAACGGCCACATACGCCCGCTCACGCGATCGCTTTTGCCATATTGAAATCTACTCGTGAGCTTCCTCTCTTTCGCGCCGAAAAATATCGCGCGCGATATCGAGCAGCGGTGGTCAAACGTGGGCAAAGCCACGTTTTCCAGAGGAAACTCGTCAGGATGATAAGGATCTGACCAGGCCCGGTCGAAACGAAGCTATCCGGATCGGATCCGGGTGATAGATGGCCCTAATCTGCTGAGAGTGCGCGATCGAGAATCAACCGTGCAGTAGAAAACATGGATCTGTAGTAGGCCGCTAGAATCTAACGCGCGAGATTGAGATAAGGACCGGCGCAAAAAGAACATAAGTCACGCTGACACGTAATTTCGGCGGCTGGAATGATACGCGTAATTGTCCCCGATGTCAGGCAGCCAAGACGAAAATGTATGTTCGTAGAACTTTTAAATCAGAGGTCGAAATAAATTTCGTGAAACTTTTTTAATTTAGTTTTCACGACGTACATTCTCATTGAATTACATTAGGCTTTCAAACAAAATAATATCTAAGCGATTTAATAACAATTTCTTTAAATAGATGCACTAAGCATGTAAAAAATTTCTTAAATATCAATTTAAGTATAGGACGATTAAATAATATTTCGAAAAACCGCGAACAAAATCGATCCTCCTCCCGTTTATTTTACTTCGTTTCAAGTAAGAATTTACTGTCTTCAAATGGCAAACTTGAGAGAAATATGTCTCGATGATTCTTGCAACTCCGAAAAAATCTAGCTTGCGGGAATCTTGGCTTAAGGATCTCTTGCACACATGATGCTGGCTTGAAGCAAGTTTGCTGATTATATCTGCGGTCCAACCGCTTTTTAAAATCAGAATCTTCACAAATAAAAAAAAAAGGTAAAATTACATTATTCGTCCATCTTTTAATTACTGCGCCGTGCAATTAATAGGACAGACAAATTGCTCGATTTAATTTCAGCCTGGGATTGGCACTTGCGACTTTCATCAATAAGAAAAGAAAAAGAAAATAGATAAAACTTGTAAAGGAAAAAAAAGCTGCTCTTACTGAAGTATCATTCAACCGAAACTTTCACAAGGTTTCATCTTGAGGCTTCAGGAACTATCGCATCATCTCCAAAGTAACCGAGAGTACTCGTAAACGACAATCATCAATCATAGCCACGAGAGTCATGCGGGTGGCTGCGCAGTCTCGCAGCTGATCCTCTATCCTATCGTTTTCTTCCGTGCCTCGCGTCACTGGGTTACCACACGTCCTGAAACGGAAGTGATTCCCATCCCCGACCGCGCCCGTGCCGAGTGGAGTACCGGTGAGTGCTTTTAGACGAGGCCGCGCTCGGAGGCGACGGAGCTTTACGCCGATGGCACGAAATAAGGAGAACGATGAGGCGCGGACGGAGGGAGGGAAGCGGTCGGAGTAAGAAGAACGTGCGCGCGGATAAGGAGACAGGGAGGTAGCTGGGGGAGGTTGTTGAGAACAAATGCGAAGCTCTGCCTCCATTTACGTTGGGGGGGTTTGCGAGCGCCAGGGGTTGGCACGGGATGGAAGAAATTCGTGGAAATACCGCGGAATTGGATAAGCCGGCGGGGTTTGTTTTGTCAGGGGTTCGCAACGAGGATAAGCGCGGCGACTGCTGGGACCATCGCGTGGTCGATGGTCATAGGCCCGACTATCGCGTGTCCCAGCAAACTTTTCCTCGCTCGCTTGCTCGCCCGTCTGCGCGGAAATCGGCAATCCGCTAACCCGAGACAGACACTCGTGTCGTTAACAAGCGTCGCCGGATCGATGAGTCGAAACTGTTTCTCCGGTTAAATTAATTCCCTCGCGAATGCTTACTTTTCACACATGTGAAGGTAAAATTTGAAGCAAGATAATGTACATGTCTCATCGGTTAAATGTAATTTCAACCGTGTAAAAGAATTAACTATCGAGTCCTCTAACGCATGCCCTTTTAATAGCAAAGCTTCAAAAATTTTGAAAGCGCGCTCTTGCTCTTACTCTGTGCTGCGTATGATATTGAAAACCACAGTGTAACGAAGGAAAATGGGCGTCATTTATTTTTTCGAGATATTATCCTCCAGCGCGACTCGCCAATCTCATTCTCCGCCGTAGAGAAAGTGCGGAAGGAGGCGGCTCCTTGCGCGAACTATTGTCGAGACGAGACCGACGGCGATCGAAAGCCCGACAATGGAATTGCGATTATCGTCCGAGCAGGGTTGCTTGCCCTCATCAAACCCTATATACGCGAGGGCGAATCGTATGGAACACGATGAGAGACAGGGAGAGGTATCGGCGTAGGAAAGAGGGAACGGCAGGGTGAGGGGATTGGCACTGGGTGGAGGAGTAAGATAGAGTTAGAGAGGAACGAGCGGGAGGTACTAGGTGCTGTTTGTTGAATCCTCGAGATCAATACGACGTACCCTATCTCTTTCTCCCCCGTAATATCGCGAACGATGGCGTGCGTGACACACGTACATGTTCATGCTCCCCGATATACGTCACGAGAGGCGAAGTGATGCTGCGCCAATTGATTCCGGATTTTTCACGAAAGCGTTTGTCGATCTTCATTTCTCGTCAAACGAGAAACGAACGAAATTGCGATGTACGAATAGCTTGATTGCTCATTTTCATATCTTTTTTTGTCTATAAGATAAATTGACACGATGATGAACGGGGGAAATTTCGTGGTTAATATTGTGTACATCAGTCATGCCAATTACGACAGATTGCTGCCGCGAGATTGCAGCTGGTGGTGGTGCCTCCATCTCCGATAATTATGCAAAATAACATTGCGCGATTGTATTTGTGCAAGTTTCAAAATGGGAATTTCGCAATCCTTAAAAGTCGATTGTCCTTTTTTTAATGACGTCTATACACAGGTAGCAATGAGCAATATGTGAGTGTGTATGTGTGTATGTATATATATATATACTTCATATATACGCATACATCTAGAGTGAGCCTCATTAATGCTTGATACATATATATACATATAAAAATTGGAAAGCTTTCTCCCACAGAAAGTAAGCGACGCAAGATATTAATAACAATAGCTCTTGAAGGTGAGAGTCCGTATCTCCGGCTTTCCCACCCACTTCTGCGTAATCCTTCATTCCGCTCAGCTCTTCCATAAAGGCAGGCGATTTCACAAAAGATGAATATACCATGGGAGGGTCGCTCCGCGACTGCTTTTCAAAAAACAGGATTGGTCATACCCGCCTTACTTATCGCACTAGTTATACCGCGATAAAGGAAGCTCTCGCGGAGCTTTTTCTAGCTTTGTCTCTCTCTCTCTCGCGCGCTTTCCCCCGTTCGTCCTCTTCCGACCAATCGAGGAGGCCTGCTTATCGTCAATGCGAAGGGTGAACTGCGCACTGCGGTATGGGACGAAAATAGGTCGGCCAATTCTCGTACCAGCACCCTTCTTTCGCCTCCGCCTTACCTATCGACACCTCCGCACCCTTATCCGAACTCTAATAAAAAACGAATACCTACGAATGTGAGTTTCGATCGCTTAGGTGCGGCCTTTTCGACGCACATTCAGGGTCAAATTTAACCACCGTTGATGCGCTGAGAGGGAGGCCGAATGTGCAATCAAATCATTCGAAATATTATACAACTAATACTTTGGAATAACGTATGCGTAGATGTAAATTTCTATTCTGCCGATTAAATACCTTTAATACCGAAGATGTTAAACGTGGTATAAAATATGGAGAAGCATACGCTTTCAACACACGTGTAAGAAATTAGAGATCGGTTTGCGATGAAATTATAAAATTTAAATGTCCATTGCACTCGCATAAATAAATCAAGTATTAATTTATTAAGATTTCTCTCCATCTAACGAAACTCGTAAGGAAACAAAAGCCTGCAACTATTGCCTGCGGTATTATTATTTCTTCGCCCGCAAAAAAAAAGTAATAAAATTTCAAAATAATGATACAAATCGGAGCAAAAACTCTTCGTCGTAGTTTATCTTCATTAACTATAAATAAACTTAAATTATCGGAACCAAATGTAAAATACTACTTGCAGTCTTATTAAATTATGTACTTGTACACCGTTTTAAAAAAGGTGTGCAAATATCTTTGTTCGAAGATATTGATAATTATAGAAAGACAATTAAAGTCTACGTTGAATCTACGCACCTTCCTCTAGCGCATCTCACAGAAAAAAATATATGTATATATACATATATATATATAAATGCATTACATCTGCAAATGTGATATCGTCAGCGTCAATTCACTTCCGCTGAAGACACAAGCACACATCTGCGCAGCGCGTTTTTCACATTTGATTTCTTCAAAGCGCAATAACAACGGATTCATCACTATAAAAACCGTCCGTGAAAAGTCTTGACAAAAGAGATCACGAATTCTGAGCCATCGGCGAATGATCTTTCGCACGCATGTACGTAAATCGCGAGCCCTCTTGGATCAACTTCCGGATTGCTGCTTGTCTTCCGTCAGCCGTCGGGTATTATTGTTGAGACTGCTGGCTCGCGGAAACTTGCGAGGCAGAGTGCGAAGATGGCTGTTGCGTCTGCACGCGCATCTGATGATACAGAGGATAGGTTTTTCGCTTTCTGATGCCGTGCATGGAAAGTAGATGAATCTGCAAATACTGCTTCGTCTTGAATTGCTTGTTGCACACGTGACACGAGATATACTCGGTCTGCACAGTGTGAACGTTGACGATGTGCTGCTTTAGATTGGAATTGTTCGAGTATATCTTGCCGCATTCGGGACACTTGGGTTTACCGCCGCCGCTGTTTTCCATTTGCTGGTGATACCGCCTGTGACTTTGTTGATGTAGTATCGCCATGCTCTCGATCTTGTCCTTGGCGCAAGACTGCAGCATCAGATTCAGCTGATCGCTCTTGGTAGCGGTGCTCTGTAGATTTTGGAGATTGTTCTGCAGCTTCTGATGCATTATCGTAAGCTGCTCGCTGTTTAGGTTATTGAGGGAGTTGAGGGCGTCGAGGGTGTGTTGCTGCGACGACTGTTGGCTGGTGGCATGGTGGTGGTGATGATGCTGGTGGTGATGATGCTGAAGCAGGGCCGAGAGATCCTGCCCTTTCGAGTTGTGACCTCCGTCGCTCTGGTAGGTCCCAGACCCGGCGTGCTCGCTCTTCGAGGATGTTCCCGGCAGCCAACCGGAACTCGAGCTTGAACCGTCTCCTCCAGAGGGCTGCCACCGCCCTGGAACCACCAGCCAATGTCAGTCCTCTCAGCGAACCTCGTACGATCCCTTAAACACTATTCAATCGCTCTTTTTCGCTTCCCGCAGCCCTTTCTTATGTATTTTTCAACTTTCTCTTTTCTGAAAGTGCATTTCCAGGTTTTAAAGACAACTTTGCCCTCGATAATTTTCGTACCCTCCCCCAACGAGTCTCTCTCTAAACCTAGGATCGAATTCAATCCTTCGTATCGTGCGACTTAATATGCCGACCCTTAATCATTCCTGGCGCTCCTGTGCGTCCTATTATTCGTCTCTTCTTCATTATCTTCCCATATCGCGATGTATATTTCTTTCCAATTCTTATTCGACCGAGTAAAATCACTATATCGATATACACGCATAATTAAGATTATTTTTGATAATGATGGATAATTTTCAATTTACAATTCGATTCCTGAGCCTGAAAATTTTGTTGATAGTGCAAGTAGCGACGCGAATTGATTTCACACTTGCACAATGTTTCAAGACAATAGGCGTCGTCGAAAATGAGCCTCACACCGCAGACAAAGACAATGACGAAGATACAATATAAAGCTCGTTTCTGAATAGAAAAGTAATTGCATGGTAGTTATTACTATGAAAGGATTTATATCTCCGCCATATAAGATACGCCACAATAATGAAAATCATAGAAGAGCCATTGAGATGCGATTCCATAATACGTTGCTGCTCACCGTGTGATAAGAGGGGTAGCTTGACAAGGGATGCAAGGGGTGTGAGAGGTACGAGAGTTTCATGCATTCAACGCAACAACGAGAGATCAGAGTCTTGGGAAACGACGGAAGGATGCTAGTCTGGGCTTTAAGAATGTTTAAAAGGGTGAAATCAAATCGTTGATTTGATAAACTTACCGTAATTTGGATCCTGATTGGCTACCTGATGCATACCGGAAGGTCCTGGCATGTTCATGCCTGTAATTTATGAATTAAGTCAATTAGAGCACATAACAATCACACGCGTAGCCAATGTTACACATCACGTAAAATACTGTTATCTCAAAAAATTCTATATTGCTGGATGAGAGAGAAAGAGGCAGCTATTTATACATAAAAATTGAACGGAACAAACTAGAATCGTAATGTTTACTGTTTTGAGAAATTTTCACACGCGTACGTGTGTACTAAAGAAACTTTTGTATCAATAATAATGAAATAATTTCTTAATATTTAATAATATCCAGTGCACGTGGTATACATTAACGAAATCAGCTACTGGTACACGGTAAATATAAATATAAATCATGAGATTTATATCGCTCAATTGACTATAGAACAGGTAAACGAGAATCAAATTATGTTAATAATATGTTAGTTTATTACATTTAATAATAGATTCATGTTAACACATTTTCATAAGTCAAAGAATACAATGAAATTATGTATGTACACAAATAGAAATAATTGTGATTATTCATTAATTAATTTTAATTGAAGCCGTAATTAGTAATTAAGTCGGGCTAATTGCTAATTACGAAAGTAATTAGTAACTGGACGAGGAATTAATAATTAATTACAAATGTAATTAGTAATTAAATGTGCCATTAATTAAAAAACTAATTTGCATCCTTTCGACAAAACTGGGATTTCTTTGGTCCATCGTAAATTTAACCCTGCCTTATAAATAACGAAGTGGCTGCTATTTACATAAGCAATTATCAATATAAAACATATTTTCCAAACAGATCAATAGTCTGCTGATCCCTGTCGGAATGTATGGGTATTTATTATTAAATCAATCGCAGACAAAGCAAAAACAATGATCTGTCGAGAGTGTAAAAAACATTTTGCAAGATTCAACGCGAGAGATTAAAGTTTGAAAGCCAAACAGTTACCTTGAAGACTCAACAACGCTGCCGGGAAGTTGTTACGATGGTGTTCTAAAGAGTCATTTAGAATGTCACTAGGCTCGGTCTTCACCGCGTTCAGGATGCTGCCGTGATTCGACATATCTTCCTCGTTCTCCGACATGGAGTTCGAGTCCTCGCCAGTCGATTGCGCCTGAAAGCAGAGCATTCCCACCTTCGTAAGTTACAAGTAAAAAGGGCAGCTTTTTGCATCACTGGAACGATATGTTGCTCGGTTTAACGAAACATTTTGCGCGTTTGTGCATAATAGAAACATTATCGCCCGCCTATCCTAATCTACGTAGCGTATAATTGTCGCTCACCTGTATATTATTGTTTGTCGATGTCGTGTGTATCGTGGGACCACCTTCGAGCGCCTGACCTAACAAGGATTCCTGAAGATCCGACTTTGGTTCAATATGGTTGCCAATTGGCGGACTGTAACTCCTCGCTCGCTTTTCCGGTGGGCTCATTTCACTGTCATTGAGATCTCCTCTGCCATTATCTTGCCAATTACGCGGGGTCGCCTGACCAAATTAAAAACAATATTACGGACGGTAGTACGGCGGCCCCATGAAAAAGGCAGCGCAATCATTCTTTATAATTCAGTTTTAATTAATATTTAACATTCAATAATCTCATTATATGTATAATCAGCGAAACTCCAGATACTCATCCATTATTAAAACTTTCGCGTAATATTTGTCTAACGTCTATTATAAGTCGCGAAATTAAAAGCTAAAGGACGAAGCAGGAAATTCTAGTCGGGATTCCGCCTGTCACGGCAGCGGCGGCGGCGTAGTGTTAAAAGCACATTAATTAAAATTCGTTTTAATTAAGGCTAAATTAATTAAAAGTTCGAAACCAGCCGTATAATTCGTATAATTAATTTTCCAACTTCCATATTAAACTGCCGCGGGGACAACTTACAGGTGCGCTACCGTTGTTGCCGGCCGACGACGGCGGAATTTTCGTGGCGCCGCTACTAACGTCCGCCAAACCCCGCACTTGAAGCATCTGAGCCGTCTTCAGGAAGGCAGGTAGCTGCTCCTGACCCACGTGCACCTCCCCGTGATACATAAAACGCAGCAAGGATTCCATGTCCGACGATGCCACGTCCTTCAGGATTACAATTGGATGAGGACATGGATTTGCCTGCGACAAAAAATTCACAATTCCTTCGAATTCGCGTTTTCATAATTGCTAACGCAATGCAAAAATTATTAAGCATCCTAACGCAAATAACGGCACGTCGTTCACATTTAAATGTCAATTCTGTATTTCTCTGATCAGGTCTAGAATCGTATAATCTCGTTACTCTCTTGCGGAAAGTTACTTGGCAAAATGTAAAATTTTCGTATAAATTTTTGTGATGCAGCTCGCGCGTAACTCATCCAGTTTCGCGCCACTTCGATCGCTCAACATTATCCATCCAATCGAACAGACGAACCCACGTAGCGCTGATTCAACGAGATTTGATATAAGATACCAGTGTCAAATTAATCGCAGCTATTAATTATCAGCCCATCCCGGGGCAGCCATTAGTACAGTGATTTTAAACACTGCGTGGCAATTACAAAAAGTATGCGCTCTAACGCTCGATCGATCAAGGTAATCAATCCGTCAGGAAGCACGCGATTTTTCTAATCGTAGATCCATACGTGAGGAGATCGGCAACCAAAAGAGATACATCGATCCTCTATCAGCAAGAGGTCGAAAGGTTTGACGGTAACGAATACCACCTCCCCTTCCTCTCGCCCTCCTCCGCGTGTAGAACAGAATGTTTCTCACGTATACTGAAATTCAGCGAACCATATGCACTTAGATACCCATCGTGCAAAAGGTGGAGAGTAACTTTTCTTTTCTCCCCCTCAAAGTAAACGATTCAACATCGGCTAAAGGTTAAGAGGTGTACGAGGATTCTGATCGATGCTCGGCGAATCGATCCCTCTTCCAAAGCGCTTAATCCCATTCATCGATCGACGCACAGGGGGAGCCTGACGGTCGATTAATTTGTAACGATTTACAACAGAGATGCATATAATCAACGTCATTTAATCCACGTCGCAGCTACCCTCCATCCTGGTGCACCGCTGCACCCATTTGTACATTTAAGCGCGCATAAATCGCCAATTTTGGGCAAATACACTCGACAGAGCGGCTTGAACAATTTTTTACTACGAGAGAACGTTACTATTTAGGTATGTGCTGAATTGTAATCTCTTTGTCCAGATCTCATTCGTGAAAAACACAATCGTCTTAGAAATGGAACGCGTTCAACTCGAGTGAAACTTTAGATTCGCGCGATCGGCAAAAATTTCGCCCCGGTTTAGGTAGTTGCAAAAAAAAAAGGAGGAATTCTAAAACGAGACGTCCCTATTGCCAAGGTGCCCCAGATACCTTCTCACCTTTCTCATCAGCGGATTGACCGAGTGAAATCGCTTTTCGCCGATGGTTAATTGCATCCACGAACAGTCACGCTCGACGGCCAATTGATTCGTAACGACAATTTATAACCACGACGCGTATAATGATCGATACTCAATCTACGTCGGGATGTTCTCGTATACCTCGGGCATCAATTCTTGCACCTGTCAGACCAGCGAATTAGCTCTTAATATTGAACGATCCTCGAGATCGTTAGACGGCGACAATTTATCCTCAACGAGAAAACTCCTCTGCATGAAAATCCGCGCTCGTGTCTTATTCCATTATGTTTGCGTTGCACAATGCACCGCTTGCGTGTATAAAATTAATAATAAGCATGGCATAACTCGCGGAAAAGAATCACCGAAATATAATCCGGCACAAATACCCCTCTTGTTTTTGCCGTTTATTATTAATCATTTATTTATCGATTCATCCCTCTTGTTTATATATAAACCTATGCGCAATAATTAAAACAACGGTTATATTGTTAATTTCAAGATAAATGGACGCGTGTTTTCACAATACCGATGCAAACACGCATCGCAATGTGTTCTCTCGGTTAGATGGAGGGTTACATCGATGTAACGGCATCGATCACGATCGCTCTCGCGAAAAGACCGCGAGAGCAGACCGCATAAAGCGGAGGCGTTTCACAGGCGATGTGTGCACGTCATGGCAATATTATACGAAGTGCTAGTGCCATTATCGACAGCGATATTAATTATAATTAATGAACCTCCTGGGATGGCGCGGCTCTCCGTGCGCCTGCCTACACACAGAGCTACGTCGGGACGACGTGATGCTGCACGTACACACGCCGCGCGCTCCGCGAGATGTACAATGCCGCGACCTCGACGAAGAACCATTCCAACTTCGATTATCGATGCCCCGAATTTAACGTCGGCACGTGAAAACCCACGGCGGCGGAGGTTCGACGCTGCCATGTGCAGAGACATTTATTATTGGCTAGTATCGACTTAACGTCTGTGCACGCGGCGCAAAGCGAGGTGCGGCGTCTCGATTTATTGGACTGCATGCAACGGAACGTATATCGGCTGAATGGTTCTTGAGATGGAAGAGGAGGCTGCGCGTATATTGCGTGGAAACGTTATAAGAAAAATATCAATAGATTGAATTAGAAACCATCGCTGCGCTCAGGCAGATGTCTGCGTGTTGTAAATTATGCCAGTCTATTCTGAGAAGATAATTTATGACACATTAGAGAATATTTATGACGCACGTATTAAATATATTAAATATTTTATGAGATTGTGTGTGTGTATAAATGAATGTTTGACTTTTGTTAAGAAATAACTTTAAAAAAATGACAAACTTAATTAGAATTCTTTAAAAATTAAATGACAAACTCAATTAACTTTTCTTTTTCTCGGAGAATCAATATAATCAATGCAATTTCGTAATTGGAGAACTATATTTCATTAAATGCCGATAGCCGCCCCGCAATAAAAGAAAACACGCTAGTCGAGCATTTTATCTCGACAAAAGCATGACTTAATCAATCGAGTGCATTGAGATTCATCTCTCGACGAAGGACGACAGTTCCCGCGGCGGCGTAGGAGGGAAATATTTTTACCAATAATCCCGCAGTTATACAAAAGCACTTTTTAATAATAATTATACGATTGAATAAACGATCCTTATTATACGATACAAAATAAAGGAAATTTCAATTGCGAGCGCTCGGGAACATCCCGTTGTAATATTTTACTATTGTGCCACATTTGTGCGTTATATAAATTCGAGCAGGTAACGTTCGCCGGGGATGAGGGGTCTATCGGTCTGATTTTTTCGAATAAAAGATGTAAAATAAAGTTTTCTTTGAATTTGCAAGTTGCTTCCACGGTGAAAAGCGTTTGTCTTGGCGAAATTTCAACGAGCGCATTTACTCCGAGGTCTTGTGAATATTAAGCATGGCGTATATACGATTCCCCGATACCTTTATCGGGTGCTGGAAAGCTCGTTGATGGGAATAACTCAAATAATTGAAGTGGTGGAAATAATCACTGTCTGCAGGTATCTGCGCACCTTTAGAATTCCGCGGTGAAAAGAGATAAAGCGACACAGAGAGGCAGAAGAAGCGAGACAATGGGCGGCGCGAGAGGAGAGGAGAACGAGAACACTACGAACTCCTTTATCGCATTAACCAACTCAATTAACAACTTTGAGACGAGACACCATCCTCTCTAATTAGACCTAACGGGATTAAAACGGGTCAATAATTAATTGTATGATCGCGTGTGCGTCAGAGCGGAATAGGCGAATGATCAAAGAGCCTCCGATTAATTTGCGAGATACGTATCGATCTGCACGATATATATCACGAGTCCCTAACGGATGATACTTATTCGATTACGACTGTGTATGCAAAGATATGTCGACATATCTGCTAATTACGCTTCGGCGTTTGCTCGCGGAGCGTAGTCTCCAAAGGAGCCGTACGTTTAATTCTATTATAATTACATGGAATTATGCGGAGAATATTGATGCAGCCTATCGTCAAAGATCTCATTGTAGTGTCTCGCATGGTTGTGCTTGTTATCAAATGAAATCTAATTGATAAATTGCTCGCGTACACTTCATCCGACGGACAATTTGTCCCAGTCGTCAAAAGTGACCGCCGGATAATACAATATTTGCCGATGTACACATTAGCTGTTGAATCGATTCTCAGAAATCGATCGGCGCGACTTGACGATACCGTATTTCTTGGCGGAAGCGACCGATATTCTCTCGAAAAGAGAATGTAAACAGGATACCGACCTATCCATCATCGCGGTCTGTCCCATTAGTCTAGCCGGACGGTAAAGCTCCCGGTCGCGATTTTTCGCGCATCGAGGCTCACATGACTCGTAACGTGAGAAATGTTGCGCGCCGCCAGCCTTATTAACGGCTCCTCGCCAGGTCCCCCGTGCATACGCCGTGCATGCACGATTTTTCCTCGAATCAACGTGCTCGCGTATCACCGGCATCGTTCGACCATAATTATCCAGCCACCTGTGAGCGCGATCGCGCGGCGGAATCCGGAGCGTCCGCTTTCTAAAATCCGCAAAGCGGCGGCGGCGCGGGGAAGATCGTGGCGAGCGATTAGGAATCGGCGGCGCGATCGAGCGGTACCGATAATTGATTAGTGGAAATAAACGGGGGCCCGTGCGTGAGAGACACAATGAAGGAGGCGGCGGAGATTAACGATACGCCGTAGAAAATGAGCGGACTCGTAGCCGAGCGTGTCGCAAGACGTACTGCAGCACTCCGGGGCCCTTAACTCCTCCGGAGTTCCCGGTATTCATTATAACGGGCCATGTATCTTTTTTTTTTATTTGTAATACACGGGCGTCTATTTTCAGAGGCTCGCGCTATCCCAGTTTACGAACACGCCGTGAGTTATGATTAAAATTATTTAGCACGGCTTGCATGATTAAACGGCGTAATGAACAAGAGAGAAAAACAAGCAGTGGTATTTCGCACCGAGAGTTAATGTGTTTGCGGTCCGCAAATGATTTATTTACAGAGGAAACGTGGCAAAACGAAAGAATGGCTATGTAATTTAAGCGGGGCCAAAAGGTGTAAGGAATAGGCATAGAAAGATTTTCGTTTTTTTTTTTCAATTATTGTATCCACCAAGTATCGGATGCGTCTGTAAAATACTCGGATTGTTCGCGCGTGAAAATAAAAATGAAACGTCCGTCTCTTGAACAGCGCACGGT